GATGGAAATTTATTAAATATATGGATGTTGTAATCTCATTACAATCACCTGTGGTTTTGCACTGGCAAGGACTGTAAATGATTATCTCCTTGGCTTTGGAAAGAATGTAATAGTTGTTTGATTAGATTCTGAATCTTAACTGAATCATGAAGAATGTGATGATTAATACCCTGTTGAATGTCTCTCTTGACATGTATTGAATTTCCAATCGTGATTAATATTTACCATGACTGAAGTGGATGATATTACATTAGCAAAACATGCTGGTTGCATGTACATCAAGTGCATATATGATGTGTGCTTGAGAGCAATTCGTGTGTCTTCTTTTCTGATTTTGATGCTGGTGTGGTGCGTAATGGCTTAAACATTGTTAATCAGAAATGATCACTTTTTATATATTCACATCTTTTGTGGGGTCAAGTTGTGTTTTCCTGCTTCAAAGCCTGAACTTGGATCTAGTTTCACGTCAGTCACATGCATTAGTCTGATTTTACATGCATTTATGCATTCATGGAAATGTGCATTCATCTATATTTATGTCGTTATGGTGCATTTTTTGACAACCATTGTTATAATACTAATGGTGGGTGTTAAGTAGAGGGAGTTGCAGCGGGCTTTAGCCTGCAGCAGCTTCTATGTTTTGATGAGCCTCAAGAATTTATGCCCTTTAGACACATCTTGGTGATAATTTGGCATCTAGGGTCCCTTTTTCTTTTGTCATTAACATTTGAAAAGTTTGCAACACATAACAAATATTGATTTAGGGTATATACAAAATAACATACTGACAATTTGTTTGTTTTGCCTGTTGTCTTTTATTCAGTCTTTCCACTGCAGGCATGGGAAAGCTTATCTCTTCAATAAGGTGTAAGTTTTCTTATTTTGGGCACCTTATCCTTATATAGCAATTGGAAAGTCATACAAAAACATTGTGTTGAATGAGACCTGTATTTGTTGATGCCATAAGGTGCCACTTGTGTTGTGTGCTATTGCCAGCCAGCCAGCCTGTAACAGGACAAGGAAAAAGGAACTTTTGTATATGTGAAGATGATTGTCTCTATATTTCGTATGAATAAGATGTTAGTAATAGTCTCTTACTCAATTGACATCTATCTGCTGATCTACCCTTTGAATTCACCGAATAAGCTCTTACCATCTTGGATAATTTTGTATGTCAATGGATATCTGGCTGACTGTTCTGATGGGATAAGCTGTATTACTTGTTCTCAATTGGTCGATTGATGGGTGAATTTTCATCTTTCATGTTGACAGTGTGAATGTCTCGGTTGGAGAGAAAGAAGAAAGAATGATGATGACTGGACTGCACACTGTGGCTGATATTTTCTGTGTCGGGTGTGGATCAATCGTGGGGTGGAAATATGTAATAATTTGTGGAAGAGACTATCAAATTAATTGTAACTAAAAGGAAATCATGGTTATATATGTTCGTTGTTATTACCTTGGCTGGTTTGTTTCAGGAAACTGCCCATGAGAAGAGCCAGAAGTACAAGGAAGGAAAATCGGTGCTTGAACGGTCAGTAGACCACTAGATTTTCAAAGAGAGAAAAGTTATCAAAAGTTCTGTTTAGATAGTGTCATTGTAAAGCTCGAGCTGACAACAGTAATCTAAACACTAGTGTTATAACCGTTAGCTCACAATTTATGAAAACTGTTGTTTTTTGGATATCAACATCTAACGGGTAAAAACCTAGTGATCACAGTTAATGTTGTGAGCTCGAGTTTACAGTGACATTCTCCTTGTGGTTTTAGCCGTATAGGTGATGTTCTTGACTGAGGTTGTGTCTTTGGGATATTATAATGTTGAGCAGGTTTAAGGTCTCAGGTCCTGATGGAAGCAATTACTGGGTTACTCATGAAGCTCATGTTGGTGGAAGTGATGCAGATGATGCATGATGACTACATTTACTTCAACCCTAAATTGTACATTCTTTGATCTCCAACCCTTCACCCAGAATCCTGCATCTTCTTCTTTGTTAATTCTGAAAACTGATAGATTCCTCCATTTAAGCAGCTTGCTTAGTTTGCTGTGAATAACATCATTCGTAACATTCTATTGTCAATGATGATTTGCTTCGTGTTTAAACTAGAGTTGATCTTGTTATTCTTGCCAGCATATTATCTCATGCTTCTGATGGCCAGAAAAGAATGTGAGGAAATGGATTATATGTATATATATTATTGTGGAGAAAACTTTGAAAGTACATCTTGAAAATAATGGAACTTGAAAAAACAAAAGCATATTTACTTGAATTAGCAATGATTAGTCAAGGTTTCACAAGGTTTATATTCTGAAGTTATTAGATTTTTCCATCCAAGGCGAACCCGTTGTTAGAAGAGTAAGGCATTGTTTGGTAGATTCCTTTTATTTCACGTTTGCAGGCAAAGAAAGGTGTTAATAGAAATGATTTGTTTTGTTCACGTGAGAGGTTTAGTTGTTTCCTTGCCATACACGTCTTAAAAACTTGGAAGAACAGGTTGGGGTTTTTAAAAAGAGTAACCTTTTGACCATGTTCAATTCACTGAGAAAAAAAAAAAAAAAATTTGTTATAATAATGTGATTGAGTAAATTTATTCATCATAATACCAATTTAATCCATTATTTTTCAAAAAATAAATTAAAGAGTTGAAGTTATTCAGATTTAATACATAATAATAATAATAATTATTATTTTAAAGGGGTGCACAGATTTTGGTAGGTGGTGTTGTTTGGTACGTAATATATGGAATTAATGGAGGCATATGCTGATCTTATCCAAAATTTTTAATTAACTAATTAATTGGCTTTTCTGTAAACACCATGATGAATCCACCTAATCTGGTAAGGCCTTGTCATCTTTTAATAATTATTCCACTTAAAATAAATAATATTAATTGCTTTCTTAATTAATGAAAATTTTGTTAATGAAAACTATGGAATACAAAGTTTAATAACAAAATTTCTTATTATGCTATGAACAGAGTTATTGTTTACTTAAAAGAGGAGTTATAGGGATTGACATTGCGTTTACTATTATATTCTGATTCAACTACTATATTTTAATATGTAAAAATTATCATAATTTACACACCCATTGCATAATTAAATAAAATTTATTTAGATTTTTAATTAAATATTAACCTATTTTTTTGTATTCCTAGTTGTCAAAGTACTACACTGGTCGTATGCTATATTGAACAAGTAAAATGACCAGAGTAATGTTCCAAAAATTTATTACTAATTGAATTGGAAAGTAATGTCTTTCTCTTGATCATCTCCAGAGTTAGAAGATTTCTTTAACACCTAAGTTTTGGATTGGTTTAGAACTCAATTTGGTGTTATTAAAGCTTCCACTATAAAGTATACACCACTCTTGCTAACAGTATCTGCCCCACAGTTTGATGACTTGATCAATAAGTAAAAAGCATCCTCCGGCAAGGCACTAGCGGCTAGGGTTTTGTGGTCAGGTGTGGGTGGGGTTATTTATACCCTTTGCCTTTTAATCTCAACCGTCCATCAAGATTAAATGTAGACCGTCTGATCGCAATTTAATTGGGATTAAATCTGGACCGTCCGTGCGCACATTTGATTTGGGCCGTCCGTGCGCGCGGGAACGGATCTGGGCCGTCCGATCGTGCGTACGCGGATCGCCCACGTGGCTCGTCCCATGTCAGCGTTTTTCTTGCCACGCGGCGTGTCCTGGTTGGCCGGGGCTGCTGACGTGGCACAACTTTTTTAAATTGCGTTTTGACCCCCAGTTTCTAATTTTCTTTTCAAAAATACCCCTAAAATCTAAATTTTCACCCATTTTTCTCAAAATCAATTTCAATTAAATCCAAATAATAATTTTACCCAATTTTATCATTATTATTATTTTTATTTTTATTTTCATTAAATTAAATTAAATTAAAATCTAAAAAATTCAAATACAAAAAAAATAAAAATAAAAAAAATAAAAAAAATAAAAAAAATAATACAAAAAAAAATAATTTGGGTGTTACAACTCTCATCCTCTTAAGGAAATTTGGTCCCCCAAATTTATCTCTCACTCTTGGTCGAACAAATGGGGATATTGAGCTCTAAAATCCGATTCTAGCTCCCAGGTAGCCTCCCTGGGCTTGTGGTTCTGCCACACGACCTTTACAAATGATATTTCCCAGTTGCGCAGTATCCTGCTCTTTTGGTCCGTGATACCGATTGGTACTTCTTCATAAGACAAGTCCTCTTGGAGTGGAAGCGGTTCATGAGCTAAGACATGAGAAGGGTCCGGGTTGTACTTACGTAGCATGGTTACGTGGAACACATTGTAGACTTTGGAGAGCTCTGGAGGCAGTGCTAGTCTGTAGGCAGCAGTACCAATCCTGTCTAAAATTTCAAAAGGTCCGATAAATCGGGGGTTTAATTTTCCCCTCCTGCCGAACCTACTAATTCCTTTGAAATGAGTGACCTTAAGAAACACCCAGTCGCCTTTCTCAAACGCTAGGTCTCTCCTCCGGGTATCTGCATAACTCTTCTGCCTACTCTGAGCTGTCTGAATGTTCTTTCTGATTTTAACTATTTTGGACGTGGTCTCCTCTACCAACTTTGGGCTGAATAATCTTCTATCGTCCACTTCTTCCCAACAAATCGGTGATCTGCACGGGTGCCCATATAACGCATCATATGGAGCCATGCCGATGCTTGCTTGGTAGCTGTTGTTGTAGGCAAACTCTATCAGGGGTAGGTGGTCGTTCCAGTGGCCCCCAGAGTCAAGGACACAAGCTCGGAGCATATCCTCAAGTGTACGAATTGTCCTTTCTGATTGTCCATCAGTCTGGGGATGGAAGGCAGTACTAAGAGACAGCTTTGTTCCCATAGCTTGCTGGAAGCTACTCCAAAATCGAGAAGTGAATCTGGGATCCCTGCCGGATACTACTATCACTGGAACCCTATGCAATCTGACTATCTCCCGGATATACATCCTTGCCAACTTGTCCAATGAATTGGTCATTCTGATGGCTAGGAAGTGGGAAGACTTGGTAAGTCGGTCAACGATTACCCATATGGCATCATGTCCTGAACGTGCCTTGGGTAGCCCCGATACGAAGTCCATGGTGATATATTCCCACTTCCACTCCGGGATCGGTAAAGGCTGAAGCAACCCACCTGAGCGCTGATGCTCTGCCTTGACCTGCTGACATACCAAGCATTTAGATACAAAGTCGGCTATATCTCTCTTCATCCCATGCCACCAAAACCGGGGTCGCATGCTTTGGTACATTTTGGTGCTTCCTAGATGCATGGCAAACTTCGAGCTATGGGACTCCATCATAATGTCCCTTTTTAACTCACTGTCATCTGGGACACACACCCTGTCTTGGAAACGAAGTAATCTATCGGCAGAGATTCAGAATTCTGAGCTCACTCCCTGTTCTGCATCCTTCTTGCGGGCTACCAGGGTGGGGTCGACTGACTGGGCTTCCTTTATTTTCTGGATTAACTCGGGCTAGACTGTTAGGCGGCCTAAACATGTGACTCTCTTCAGATCCTGAAGTCAAACCTGTTGCGTGGCCCCAATTGGCCTACATTCTGAAACCATCAAATGGGCTAAGATACCTGCACTTTTTCTGCTGAGAGCATCTGCTACCACATTGCCCTTACCCGGATGGTATAAGATATCACAATCATAGTCCTTAAGGAGTTCTATCCACCTTTTCTGACGCATGTTAAGATCCTTATGAGTGAATAGGTGTTTCAACCTCTTATGATCGGTATAGATCTGAAAGGTCTCTCCGTATAAATAATGGCGCCAGGTTTTCAAGGCGTGTATGATTGCGGCAAGCTCTAAGTCATAGGTGGGATAGTTTTTCTCATGATTCTTTAATTGTCTGGACCCATATGCTATAACATTTTCATGCTGCATCAGAACACAACCCAACCCTACATAGGAGGCATCACTATAAACTGTATATCCTCCCGATTCACTCGGTAAAGCCAGCACGAGTGCAGTAGTCAGCCGCTTCTTTAATTCTAAAAACTTCTTTCGCAGTCCTCATTCCACTCAAACTTGGCATTCTTCTTTGTGAGTCGGGTTAGGGGAGCTGCTATACTAGAGAATCCTTCAACGAACCTACGGTAATAACCTGCCATCCCCAGGAAGCTATAGATTTTCTTAACTGATGTAAGCTTCTCCCAGCCAAGTACCGCTTCAACCTTTTCGGGATTCACTGATACTCCTTCCTTCGATATGATGTGTCCTAGAAAGGCAGTCTACTCAAGCCAGAATCCACACTTACTCAACTTTGCATATAACTTCTTGTTTCTGAGGACCTACAAAACTTGGGCAAAATGGTGAGCATGTTCTTCTCGGCTTTTTGAGTAGACTAAGATGTCATCAATGAACATGATAACAAATTGATCCAAGAACTCTCTGAAGACCTTGTTCATCAGATCCATAAAGATTGCCGGGGCATTGGTTAGCCCAAATGGCATGACCAGAAACTCATAGTGTCCGTACCTGGTTCGGAAGGCCGTCTTGGGGATGTCTTTTGTTCTTATCTTCACTTGATGGTAACCTGATCGTAGGTCTATTTTAGAGAAGACCTGTGCACCCTGTAGCTGATCAAAGAGGTCATCAATCCGGGGAAGGGGATACTTGTTTTTGATCGTGATCTTCTTCAATCCTCTGTAATCAATGCACAGTCTCAACGTTCCATCTCCCTTCCTTACAAAAGTGACTCCAGCACCCCAAGGGGACACACTGTGTCTAATAAAATCACTGTCTTGCAATTCAGTGATCTGTTTCCTCAGCTCTTCCATCTCAATGCGGCTCATACAGTAAGGAGCAACCGAAATGGGTTGGGTACCTGGTTGTAGGTCTATAGTGAACTCGACTTCTCTATCCACTGGCAGACCGGGCAGTTCGTCCAGAAACACATCTGGGAAGTCTCGGACTACTGGAATCTCTTGAACACAAATTTCCTTCTTGGACTTGCCTAGTCAGACAAAATAACAAGATTAAGGCACTAGAAGTTAAGAAAACTTACCATCAAGGAATACGTACTGAATAATTTTATTAATTTGTAAATGGCTCCTCGTTTGGAGGATTAAATACAACTTTCTTGTTAAAG